CAAAACTTAATTTAGAGGTTCCTAGCTCAAGTTATGACCATTTAACGAAACTAGTAATTCAAAGGCTAAAGATTTTCAAGTTTGACCACGTGGTTGGCTTTTTGATATCGAAGCCAGAATCCGATTCTGGAAATTTGAATAGCTCCGTTATGTCATTTATGACTTGTGTGCCAAATTTAAAATCATTCCGGATTCATTTAATATGTTTTGGCACAAGATTTGCAAATGGAAAAGTTTAAAACTCAAAAGTTCGAATCGGGCTGTAAATTATAATTTCAGCATTGTTTGACGTGATATTAGACCCCGAGTAAGTCCATATTATATTACGGGACTTGTTGGTATATTCACATGTGGTCCCGAGTACCCCGAGTGTGACTCGAATCGATATCGGAACAAGAATTGGACTTAAGCAAAATCTAAAATTTTGCCTTCTGTTGTAATCGCACTTGGGGATTTTTGACCGCAGGTGCGAGCTCGCAAAAGCGAGCCTTCCATCGCAGAAGCGGCCTGGGCAAAGGTCCGCAGGTACGGAAACTTGCACGCACCCGCGCGTCCGCAGAAGCGGACTTGACAATCGCAGAAGCGGAAGGCAGCGCAGGTGCGTATTTGTCCTCTGCAGATGCGAAGCCTCGCCTGGTAGCCTCATTTTGCATATGCGAGATTTTTCTCGCAGATGCGAGATCGCATGTGCGAGCCCAGGTGCCGTTTTGAGTCCGATATTATTTTCATATTTTGGTCATTTTGAGCTCGGTTAAGGCGTAAATTTGGGTGATTTTTACTGAAAAAAATTAGGGTAAGTGTTCCTTATCCTATATTATTTATATGTCATGATTCCATACTCATTTATATCATGAATCCGCGAATTTATAGAAGAAAAATCAGATTTTTATAAAAATTTTCAGAAAACGAAAATTTAAGATTTGAAGGTCCATTAGATATCAGAATTGGACAATTTTGTACGGTTGGACTCGTCTCGGAATTGGTATTCGGATTTCGCGAGTATTTTTTGGGATTTGAGACGTGGGTCCCACTGTCGAATATTTAAATAAATTTTGGATTTTTATCCAGAAAATTAGTAAATTCATATGGAATTAATTCCTACGATTCGTATTGAGTATATTGAATTATTTGTGAATAGATTTGAAACTTTTGGAGACAAATTTAAAAGGAAAAATTATGGTCGAGTAATTGATTGGAATTTGCAAAGCGAGGTAAGTGTCGTGGTTAACCTTGATTTGATGGAATAGAACCCTTAAACTATTTGTTATGTGAAATGCATGTGAACGACGTATAGGCGAGGTGATGAGTGTCTATACGTCGTCAAATTAATTATTTATTTCATAATTAAATCATAATTATTGTATGCTTGTTGTCTTATTATTTTATATTAATTGTTGCATTTATTTGGAAAATTTCTTCTATAAGAATTGGTAAATGGATATATTGGAGGATCGGGTTGCACATCGCAACCGACTTATTAAAAAGTCCATATTGGAGGATCGGGTTGCACGCCGCAATAGATTTATTAAAAAGTCTATATTGGAAGATCGGGTTGCACGCCGCAACAGACTTATTAAAAGTCAATATTTGGGGGATCGGATTGCACGCCGCAATAGACTTATTTAAAAGTCAATATTTGGGATATCGGATTGCACGCCGCAATAGACTTATTTAAAAGTCAATATATATACTTGATTCAAAATAATTATATGAGAGGATTGAAAATGAATATATTGTGAGAGCGGGTTGCACGCTGCAACAGAATTGAATGTAAATATATTGTGAGAGCGGGTTGCACGCTGAAACAGAATTGATGGAAATGATAATTAGTTATGACTGCTGAATTGGCTTCAATTATTATAAATGATTTACATAATTTATTTCTATTATTGTTGTTGTTACTAATATTGCGTACTGGTAATGTAAGTGACCCGTCTTAGCCTCGTCACTACTTCGTCGAGGTTAGGCTCAACACTTACCAGTACATGGGGTCAGTTGTACTGATATACACTATGCACTTATTGTGAAGATTTTGGAGTTGGTCCCAGCGGCGTACCATAGACTTGCTCGGATTTCAGCTACTCAGAGGAGACTTGAGGTATAACTGCACGACGTCCGCAGTTCTGAAGTCCACATCTACTTTAATTTAGTTGCGTGTTTATTTTCAGGCAGCTTTATTTTATTCAGACCCTTATTTGTATTATTCTAAAAGCTCGTGCACCTGTGATACCAATTCTGGGATTGTATTTAGACACCATTATTTTTATGGATTATTCACTATATTTCAGACCTTACTTCCGCATTTATTTCTTTGTTATTAATAAATTTTTAAAAAATTATTTTAAAAATTGATAATATTGTTCTAATGTTGGCTTGCCTAGCAAGTGAAATATTAGGCGCCATCACGATCCAAAGGTGGGAATTTTGGGTCGTGACAATTATTAACTTGATCCACTTCTATTATGTGTCAATATTTGATCGGCATGAAGTCTAATAAAGAAAAAAAAACTTTTGTCATATATTAAAAGTATTATTGTAATTTGTGAATTTAAACACGCCATGATATGATTACAACTATAAGAGCATCTCATTAGAGATTAAATAAAAGTTAAATTTAAAAATTTAAACTATAGAAAGGTATTAATTTTTCGTCACAAATTAAAAAGAGAATAGTGTACATTAAGTGAAGCATATGGGTATTTGCTTTGATATTAAATTGAAGCATATTGATACGACTAATTCAAATTTGTCCGTAAAAGGCAATTTTTTATGGAATAAAATGCTTCTTATAAAAACATTCATTCACACGTCTAGAACTTTTAACTTCTAATTAAGGGATGGAGAAGCATTAAAATCCTATTATACACACTAGTCTTAGCGTATGCGTATTGCGCATGTACCCTATATTAATGAATAATTATTTTTTTAAGAAAAAAGTATAAATTCTTTAGAATAACAAATGTTAATCCTATTCAGTTAAGTGTACACCATTCTTTTGTATCTCTCGGGTATAATAAATTATTTTGTCATGAAATTAGAAACTCATAGTTGTTGGAATAAAGAATGGTGATTCAGACTTTCATTTTGTGTGAGACAATTAGGAGAATGCTGTACCCGTAAATTTTTTTATGATTTTTGGGTAAGAAGAAACCTCTTTGCTTTGGATAAAGGAATTATCATTTTTAAAATTTCAGAAATTTAATGATTAATTATTTTGAAATCCAAACACCATAACTAATTGTTTAACTGTTTAAATTGTCATCTCTTTTCATTTTCTAGAAAATTCAGGCAATAATATTTAGGAAGATTGCTCATGTTTGCTAAAATTTCATTCTTCGTTTATCTAGAAAAGCAGTACTCTCCTATTATTTTCCAATCTTACGAAACTTTAGGAATTAAAAACAAAATTTCCAGTAAAAAGATATTTAAATATATAACAATGCTCTCTTTATATTGGAAACAATTGCCAAAAAGTGCAAGAATAATATTTGAAAAAAAAATATAAAAATTATATCTAGAATAATGAAAATGTGTTATAGATTCTTTACCTCAAAACTAACATAGATTCTTTATCTCAAAACTAATCTTGTCCGGCACTTTATCCTCTCTTGTAGGATTAAAATAGGACGCATGAAGAATGATACCGAAGATATGTGAAACTGAATTAGATGCAACTAATCTTGATTATAGATTTTAAAAAAATACTCAAACAAAAAACAAACGAATGAAGATAAATTTATATAAATACACCGTAAAAGAATAGAGTTGAGGGAGAAAAAAGAAGGTCCAAAAGTAAATTTCAATAGTGAAAGTCCCTTGATGAAGAAAACGAAAAATGCTATATTACGTACTCTTAGTTTAATAAGGAAGAATTTAATATATAAAATTTAGTTGATTTCGAAATCTTAAATATTAGGAAAATAATTAACTGACTATGTCTAAATATTAGAAAAATAAATAAATGACTATTTTATCCCATGTGAAATCTATTTTTAAAGGATAAAATAGGCGAACGACATTTCGCTAAGGGCCTTCGTGCTTTTAATATAATATAGATATAGATTAATAAAAAAGATATATAAGTAAAACTTATGGTGCGTGTATATCACTTAATAAAGGAATAAATCCTGCACCACATATCTTAGATCCCTTATTGATTTTGCCTCCAATTTCTAAAGTTATCTGGTTGTCCCTCGTGGGTTAATTAGTAGAATATGCTTGATATATAAAACAATTATGATAAAGTTATATAATAATAATAATAATAATAATAATATCTATTCATCTTCTCTAAAATTATATTTTTTGAACTTGACCTGAAATTATGAAGTGTCCTCGCGTAAGTACTTATACAATTTAGAGTTTTAATAATGGTATATAATGAGATTATTCATATTTAACAGTATTTAAGAATATATATTGACATTTTTGTATGTAATAATGAATAAGGACGAAAGATATATTTATATCAGCTAAACTTTAATTTGAAAGAATATGGAAAAAGCTTGTCTACTTCATAAATAATTCTAGTTTGGTATAAAGCAGTATGTATTACAGCAACGTACTGCATGGATTTTGTAAAGTGCTAATTGTGTATGTTATGTTTCTTTTGAAGAAATTGTTCTTCGTGTAGGTATTCTATATGGTCGCGTACAAATAGCAAATTTTAATATGAAATTTAGGAAGCCAAGGATTTTTGGTAACGTAAAATTTTCTTGATTTTAAAGTCCTAAATATTAGAGCTTAAAAATTTAATGAGTAAACTTTTAGTTGAATTGAAATTAAAATCCTAAATATTAAAAAAATATAATTAAATGACTATTTTGCCTAGTGTGAAATCTATATTTAAAGAGTAAAAAAGGCGAACACATTTCACTAAGAGTCTTGGTACTTTTAATATAATATAGATATAGATTACCATTAGCATTATTCCGTTTCTGATCTCATACATCTTCTGTCATATTACTTCATGTACATGTAATCTGAGAAGCCTTAATTAATTAAGCAGTTTTATACTTAGCCTTATAATCAGCAAAAAGATTGTCAGGTGTCTTCCGAAGCAATTCAACGAAGAAATTGTTACTGTAGCCAGTTTTCATCTTCTTATTCAGCTCAGCCACTAATCCATTTTTCAAGCCATTACAATAATCCAGAAAACGTGCTGTGATCGCGTAATCCTTTGAGAAGATTAGCTAATTACTTGACTGTTTGTTACAACAGAAGCATGTGGAGAAATATCACTATCCACAACAAGAGTGTAGTATATTACTACATTAGAAATATTACAACCCCTTGTATTTTTTTTCAAAAATAGTTCTTAGGATGTATGCCCATATTGTTTCATTGACAAACACAGGAAAAAATACCAAAAAGTTTGTTTATGTTATCTTGCCTGCTTCCTTGGCCAGCTTGTCCGCCACCCTACTTCTTTGTAGTTGTGATTTACATGAGGATTCCCCAATGCTGTTAGAAGTGACCTGCATTCACATATAATAGTTTCATAAATTAGGTTGCCTTTATTGATACAGTGTATTACCTCAGTTGAATCGATGTTAACTTCCAAAGGCATGAAGTTGTTTGAGACTGCCATTCTTAGTCCCTGCATAAGAGCTGTCAGTTCATAGTGGAGAGTGTTGGTGTAGTGTATTTCTCCTTGAATCCCATCACCCAATCCCCATTGTTGTTCCTTATTACTCCCCCTAATCATCCTATAAACACCTTTTGGAGAGTTGCACCATCTGTGTTGAGCTTATAGTAGCCTCTCCTCGTTGGATGCCACTTAATTTGTACAATAGTGCTACGTATGTTAGTGCATCCTCAAGCCACATGAATGAATTCAACAGCTTTAGCTATGGCGTTTTTAAAGGAGACTGGCTCTCTTTTCCCATTTAAACAATTGCTATATCTAGTGAGCCAAATCTCCCATAGGCAGAATGGGATCAACTCTCCCCATTTGGGGAGGTTGCTGAACTTTATTTTTTTGTGGATTATGTTGGTGGTGCTATTGAATAAGTTAGAAGATTATACGGAGGAATTACTGGGATCCTGTACTCCATGAATATTGGAGAATCCCTAAAATCATTTATATAGCCGTTAGTGATTTCCTTCCTAAATTAGCTTGCTGTTCATGCTATAAAGCAGCTCCTCTGTAATAACTTTATGGGTACAAAAAATAATAGTTTTACTTTTTATCATGGTATCAGAAAGAAAAAAACAAAAAAACCTAGAACCTTATCATATCTCTCTGTAGAATTGCAGAAAGAAAAAGTAAGGGGGATCAAACTCCTTCAACAGGAAATTCCCAAACTGCAGTGCAAGACTCTATACTTGCAGACATCACGTCTAGACTATCTCAATTGATCACCCAAACACCAGCAGCAACAACCCATGAATCACTTGCTGCACCGAACGGTATCAAGCTTAATGATACTAACTATGGACTTTGGTCCCAAGTTGTGGAGATGTATATCTCAGGCAAAGACAAATTGGGATACATAAATGGCGATTTACCACAACCACATGAGTCAGATCCGAAACGTAATAGTAAAGGGCTGGCTAATCAACTCTATGGAACCAATTCTCATAAGCAACTACATCCGATTTCCAACCGCAAAAGCAGTTTGGGATGCCATTGCTACAACCTATTTTGATGGAACTGATACATCACAAGTCTATGACCTCAAGAGAAAGGTAACAAGGCTGAGACAAGGAGGATGATCCATCGAAGCATATATACTATAATAACCTTCAAGGCTTGTGGAGAGAGATTGATTTTCGTCGTCCCAACCCAATGGGATGTGAATCTGATATTAAAATATATATATAACTCTATTTTACAGGAAGATCGAGTTTATACTTTTTTAGATGGGCTTGATGATCGACTTGATAAAATCCGAGGAGATGTACTTCAACTCCAATCATTTCCTACGGTAGAACAAACATATGCTCACGTTCGCCGAGAGGATTTAAGGCAATCTGTTATGCTAACAAAAGGAGACACTGTGAATGGGGTAGCTATGGTCTCAAGAGGACAAAAGTCACAACGACAAACCTCATTTCAGCTAGTACCTGATGGGAAACCAAATACATCAACAAAAAGATCACAGGTAGAAGAAGGGGGTTGCACACATTGTGGAAATACAAAACACAGCAGGAATGGTTGCTTCAAGCTACATGGATATCCAGATTGGTGGCATGATCTCAAAGCAAAAAAGAAACACGATGTTGGTCGATCCGCTCTTATGAACAAAGCAGATCACTCTGCCGCTGGATCCACCGAGCAACAATTGTCACTCATACCACAGAAAACAGTACCAGCTATCGCGAACAAAACAGAAGCGTTTCATATCCCAGGTAATCAAAGTTGCTCCGCAGCTACTGACCATATGACATTTGATTCGCAGGATTTTGTTGAAAGAAGCGAACAAAGGCGGTCATTCATTGTTAACGCCAATGGAGTAACATATCCAGTTATAGGGGCTGGAAAAGTGGCACTTTTACCATCCTTTTCTCTTTCAAATACTTTATTAGTTCCATCTCTTTCTAATAAGCTTTTATCTATTGGCCAAGTTACTGAAGAATTAAACTGTTGCGCACTAATGTTTCAAAAGTTTTTCCTTTTCCAGGATCTTCTCACCAAGAAGATTATTGGTCGTGGTACTAAAAGAAATGGATTATATTACAGGGATGATCTTAGTGTTGCGGAAACAAACACTGCACAAGCATTTGGTTATGGCACTATCGATTAGGACATCTATCTTTCTCATCATACTTGAAGTATCTTTTTCCAAGTTTGTTTTCACAATTACATGAATCTTCATTTTGTTGCGAAACTTGTATTATGGCCAAGAGTCACCGTGTTCCATATCCTGTTAGTTTTAAAAAATGCGAGAAACCTTTCATGATTATCCACTCTGATGTATGGGGACCATCACCTATCACAGTCTCCTCTGGTATTAGATGGTTTGTGATATTTGTAGATGATTGCACACGCATGACTTGGCTTTATTTGATTAAGAATAAAAGTGAAGTATTTGCTGTTTTTCGCTCTTTTCATAACTTGATCAAAATTTAATATTCCGCTGATATTCAGATTCTTCGTTTTGATAATGGCGGGGAATACAATAACAATGAAATGCGACAATATTTTCAGGAATGCGGCTTGCGTCATGAAACTTCATGCTCTCATACACCACAACAAAATGGTGTTGCATAACGTAAGAATAGACACATTTTTGAAACGACTCGTGTACTCTTGACAGCAGCTCATGCACCACAAAAATATTGGATAGATGCAGTTGTGGCCTATGTATACCTGCTCAACAGAATGCCATCTCGTATCTTGAATTTTGAGACCCCATTACAAGTTCTTTCTCATCACGTGTCATTACCTTCAGTCTTGATGCTTCCTCCTCGGATATTTGGATGCGTAGCATTTGTACATATTAACAAAGACATCGAACTAAACTTGATCCTTGTGCTGTTAGATGCATTTTTCTGGGGTATGGAGACAATAAGAAAGTGATAGGTTATACGTACCTTGTAATGTTTTGATCATCTAACAAATTTAATGACAAAAACCAGATAAGGAATCTAATACACACCCTCAAGTACGTGGGAATAACAAGTCTCAAGCTGGAGATGTAAATCAACTCTTCATACGACAAAAAAACAACAAGGGAAACAGATGGTCATCAGTTCCCCTGGTGACCGTACCCAGTCAATTCCCTACAACTGTAAAGTTGTTGTCTGCACACATAAGAGTGTGCATCAGTCAACTTTACGGAGAATGCCCTTTACCTAACTTGCTTGCATCATTCAAGTGATGTCAGAAATGAGTTATTAACATCAAACAAGGTAATACAAAACACTTGCACATTTAAGAATCGATCAAGCATTCTCGAAAATCTGTGTCAATCTTGCAAGTGATTCCCAAGGGCATCAAGAACAAAAAATAACATAACGAAGGACGAGTTTCATGTAATGAGTCATTACATGTCCCTAGTTGTGCTGCACATTTGTTAAAGCACTTTACTTATAATTTCTACTTAGCTTAGTTAGAAGCATTGTGTAGGAAATCTTTGTAAAATCATAAGCCTTGTGTTTGTGTCATTGACTAGAGTTAGTCGAGTTGTAAGTCTTTTTAATAGAGTTATTATAAAGTGGCTTGTAATAGAGTTGTTACAAGTTAGCGAGGGATTAAGATGTTAATTCCTAAGTTACATAAGTTATAATCTAAAGTTTGCTCAGTATTGAAGTTGAAATCCTACAAGGGTAGATCGTGGTTTTTAATCCCGTGAGCTGGGAGTTTTCTATGTAAAATTTCATTGTGTCATTTACTTACTGGTGTGTGCGTGCGTTTTGTGGGAACTTATAGAGAACTTGGTTCTCTACGTAGTTTGGTGGACCTTAGTTACTGTTAGAAAGGCTATCGCTGTTATGATCCTACGACTGGAAACCATTATACCACCATGGATGCGAATCTGAAATGTTTTTTTTCTAAATCAAATTGCAATTCTTCTCTTCAGGGGGAGTTGTTGTATGAAGAGAAAAATATATGGGAAAGCTGGCCAGTATTTGAAGATGCAACCCGTCTACAAGACAATGAAAATAATACAAAGTGGAAGATGTAATCCAATGAAACTGAACTGTCATCACAAGAAACAACAAGGTATCCGCTAGATGACAGTACTCAAGTGACAGAACCTAGGGTGACAACAACCGAAGAAAAAAAAATTGCAGTGACTCGATGAGTGATCAAGAGCATTCAAGTGAGGATAAACAGAGTGAGGAGAACCAACCTGCCGAAGAAGAACAACTTCTCCTCCATCATGATTTAGCACCAAACAACTCTGAGGTACAATCTCTAAATTCTCGTCTTGATTACACTACTAATGAATCTACTGGTTTCCAATTACCTTTCAGGCACAATCGTGGCAAACCACCAAGTCGCTTTTCTCCAGATTGTGAAAAAAAGAAAAGAAAGTATCCCATTGCCAACTACGTGTGTACTACGAAATTGTCACAGCCCCTAAAAGCTTGTGTGCACAAGTTGTCTTCTGAACATACTCCAACCACAATACATGAGGCATTAAATGACTCGAAGTGGATTCAAGCGATAAATGAAGAAATGACGGCACTGGAGAACATGAATACATGGAAAATAGTATCACTACCTGAAGGAAAAAGAGTGGTGGGATGCAAATGGGTGTTTTCCATTAAATACAATGCAGATGGATCAATAAATCGGTATAAAGCAAGACTTGTAGTAAAGGGATACACTCAATCCTATGGTGTGGACTATAAGGAAACCTTCTCGCCGGTTGCAAAGCTAAATACAGTTAGGGTGCTATTGTCTCTTGCAGCAAATTTGAATTGGCCACTGCACCAGTTTGATGTGAAAAATCCTTTTCTACATGGATACCTCAAACAAGAAGTCTATATGGATATTCCACCAGGATATACTACTTCCCTACCCAGAACAGTATGCAAGCTACAAAAGGCACTATGTGGTTTGAAACAATCACCAAGGGCATGGTTTGGGCGCTTTAGCTTAGCCATGAAGAGCCGTGATTTTAAACAAAGCAATACCGATCATACCTTGTTCTTAAAGCATCGAGAAGGAATGGTGACAGCCTTAATAATCTACGTAGATGATATGATAATCACAGGGAATGATAAAGAGGAAATCTCAAACCTGCAAAAGTA